AGTAGTACTCCATTTTATATAAAAAACACATTTTCTTTATCCAGTCTCCAGTTGATGGGCATTTGGGCTGCTTCCAAGTTTTAGCTATTACAAATGGTGCTGCTGTGAACATGGGTACACATATATCACTGCCTTCCCTTTATATACTTTTTAGTGCCAAACTTTATAGTTTGGGTGGTACTAGAGCCCAGGGTGTTTGCTCTCAGCTACATTTCTAGGCCTTTTAAGTAAATTTTATTTCTATTTTTTAAATTTTGTTATTAGCAAACCAGAATACAAACTCAAAACAAAGCAGGGACAGAAAGAAAGTATCTTTCCCTCTGTTTATCTAAAAAATATGACTAAGGGTAATTCATTCTGAAATGGGAACTTTATGCTTCCCAATAGCACACAAGACCCATGAGACTATTTTTCCTCTGCAGCACAATATCACCCTTCAGAGATTTACTAAAGGTGACAAAGGCATCCCACAGGTAGGATTGATTAACTCATCAGGATTTGTTAGGCTCAATGAGATAATAAAATAAGATACCTACTGAGAGATTTTAGAAGCTCAACAGAGAATGGAAAAGGAACTGAAGTAACTGAAAGGGTATCAACATATATGAGTTGAAATTATCTTTTAACCTTCTACAATCAATTTAAAGACTCCAAGGAACAGGATATAAATTATGACAATGCCCAGTATGAGAAAGTTTCCGTTATATATCACTCATCTCAAGAAGAAGGAGCTATCAATTTTAGCCAAATGTTAGCCTCACATTTTCAACACTATGTCTCCAAAAGCTTTCTAATTTTCCTGCCTTACTAAAGATGATGCTTTAAAATATATACTTTAGACATTTACACATTGGCATTTTGTCCTTATGGACTCAGCATGCTTTATAAGTGCTATAAGACTCTAAGATGATAGCACAGAAGTGGATACTTGGAACGAGAAATAAATTCTCAATATGATGGAATACATGAAGTATAATTCTCATTATAAAATAATTTTGTACCTAGTTATAGAACTATGACTTTAAAAACTCGCTAAAATTTCCCTTTTCTTTTTAAATCCTTTATGGGAACTGCAGCAAGAAACAGGCTAAAGTGATGATCATGTAAGGTGATGTTCTGAAAGAGAATGAAGGGAAAATGTCATAAATAATTGTTTAATATTTTATTCATGTTTAAATAGTTTAATCAAATGTTAACAATTATGTATGTAAACCAAATGCACTTGCAGCTCATGAACTGTTACGTGATGTATATTCCACATAAATACCTCTAAAGTTGTTCCTTTCTTCTATGGGATAGCAATTGAATAGTCAACGGAAATCACTTAATAGCTATGCTGCATTTGGTGTACCACTTGTCTCATGCAGTTCCCCACCAATTTTGAGGAAGAAAAAGAGCAAAATTAGAACTAAGCTGTTATGCCATTGACAAAATAATAAGTAGGAACCCAATAAAATATGGTGAAGGAACAAAGGCATGAACATCCCAGTACAGAAGACATTTATCTCCACCACATGTAAAAACTAGTTTAATATTTCAGAGAGAAAATATAACTAAAAGAATTGAGGAGAAAATAGTTGTCAAATCCCTGCATGCATTCAGGACAGGAAGTGGTTATTTTAAGAAAGTCTTAATACTGTGTTTAATAAGAGGCTCATTTGAACTTCTTTTTTAAATAAATCTTAAGTTAATATTTAACTTTGCTTATTCCTTTAAACAGGAGAGAAGCTGACAATATGTCCTACAACACAAAAGAGATATAAAATCATTGCAGTAGATGCTGATCTTGGGGCCAATGCACAAACTCCCTCAGCTAGTGCATGGCTCACAGCAATGGTATGGGGCCTCCCCAGTAAATGCTTTCTACCAAAAAGGCCATTCAGTGTAGGAATGGAAGGGTGTAAATGCCAAACCTCCTCCTGCCTTTGGGTGCAGTGTGAAGGGCTGTGGGATCTTCAAAGTTCCCCAATGGATCAACTAAGTCCAGATTCAAATCTCTTGCCTTTCACCTTCTCTTTCTGCCCAATCCTTAGTGTCCTCCACCCCAACCCCTGTTCATGTTAAGAAACTAAATGTAAATGTCAGTCTCAGAGTCTGCCTCCTGGAAAGCCTAACCTTTCCAGTGACTCCTTCCTAATTGATCATATTTTAAAATTGCAAACACCATAACAAAAAATCAGAAAAGCTGTGCATTTTCCAATTACTTTGTCATGATTTTATTAAAACGTTTTGCTTATTTGTCTCACAAATTCTTATAATGATTCTCAGATGTTTTTTACTACATTGTTGATCAAATTCTAATCACATCAAGAATACAAGACACTATTTCTTTTCTATATGGTGACAATCTTGATTTAATAAGGACAAAGATAAATGAAAGGTCACTGAATTCAGTCTGGTTATAGTTTTCAAAAGCCAGTAGACTATGAAGATTCTCTTCAGCCCTCCAAATTAACAGTAGTCATCATTATTCTGAGACATCCATGCCAGACAGTACATTC